TTGTTTGTTTTTTTTTTTTTGTTCTAATGGAATTCTTATTTGGCAACACACTCTGAATTTGTAATACTCGTAGCCACATTGTACACTATCCCCATTGTATTTTAGTAGAATCATAATAATAATAACATACCCATAAGAATTGCCTCTATCATTCCATGATCCACCGCCACCACCGCCGCCGCCGCCGCTGCTGCCACCGCCACCACGATGGCCTGAATCATAACCTTAAAGAAAAATATTGTTGTTTTGCTGGAAGCTATTTGGATTGAACTTCTGAATAGTACTTACCTCCACCTGGCTTGTTATAGTTTGGAGGGGGCTCGTTATAGTTACCAGTTTTATTTGGCATTTGCTGGTAATTTGGCGGAGGAACAGCAAAGTTATTATACTGCCCGGCGCTGCCGCCGCCGCCGCCACCACCACCACCATAACCGCCACCTGAAAATTGCACATTCAATATTTTTCTTCAACTTTAACAGCGTATTTTGCTATTGTCCACTTACGATCCATTACTCAAACACGAATAAGTTTATTGCTTTTTTTGTGGGAAAAATATTTAACTTTTCTCAAACTTCTTTCACTTCTTGCGTTTCTCTTTCCCAACACCAGCGTCAGTCGAAAATTCGACTTGACTTTTTATTGTAAAAATGGCGTGTGAATCTAGGGATGTAAGAAATTTATTTATCGCCCATCTGTCAAACAATCGAAAACGAATTAAATACCTAGTCGATTAGCCGGAGGCAAGATAGCGCCGATTTCTTTGGCGTTGAAACAAATTTTAGATCACATTAAACATTTATTTTGCTGTATGCCTAGGACGATTATTGAACAAAAAGAAAGAACCTTAAAATTAAATCGACTTTCTCAGTTAACTGGATTTTCAAATATCTTTTGATCAAGCTCTTTCAATTGCATAATTTTGTTTGTAAATAGTTTTTTACTGAAAATATTGATATAAATATTGTCTAAATATTGGAATCGAGGTATGTATGACATTCTTTTTTGCGTGTTTCTCAACACTGATTTTGATAATGCAACCCTGCGATGATTGTTTATATTCATAATAATGAAACATTTGGTGTTTACGTGGAATACACCCAATGCACTTTTTTATCCTTTTAAGCATAAATATCCCAACTAAAGCAGAATGATTGAAATAACAGATCTCCAAAGTATGTTAGACAATAAGTTATATTCGTTATTGGCATATTAACACAGCTCATATTAATTATTGCACACTATTTGCAGAAATTGGAATCGGCTTGGCTGGCTTCGGCATATCGTTTTTATTTCTTGGCATGTTGCTTTTATTTGACAAAGGCTTGCTTGCCATTGGCAATGTGCGTGAGATGGCTATATTGCATATATAAGAAATCTATGGCATGGATATTATAGCAATTGCATTTCTATTACAGATTCTCTTCATATCTGGCCTTGGCTGCGTCATTGGCGTTGAGCGAACTCTTCGCTTTTTCTTTCAGCGCCACAAAGTCAAAGGGACAACAGCTTTTTTTGGTGGAATTGTTATTGTGTTGCTTGGATTCCCCATCATTGGCATGATCATTGAATCCTATGGATTTTTCGCACTATTCAGGTTCGTACACAAACACCTAAATGAACCCTGCCGGAGCACGTGCTAATTCATGTTTCCCTTTTTCAGTGGCTTCTTCCCTGTAGCCATCAATTTCCTCGGCCGTGTGCCCATATTAGGATCATTATTCAATCTTCCGTTTATGCAAAAGGTAAGATAAACCGGACTAACGACACATAAGTTAACATTCCAAGTGCGGCCTGAAGGAACTCGCCAGTATTACATAGGACACAAAATTCGTTATAAGCGTTAGCAATAGAATCTCTCTTTCGCCCCACTCCTGCATCCAAATTACAGTTTACTTAATTAATACCTATAAATAAATTGTAGCTACATATATGTATGTCATCGAATTTGCCCATAGCTATCAATGAATTAATGATTTCTTCTCAGAATAGTTTTAATTTGAATCTAATCTATGTATTTTCCAACATTTACAAATCCGCACAATGAGAAGAATTTTAGTGATTCTTGTTCCAATCCTCACGTTCCTCGCGTTCCTTTTGCACTTCCTTCAGATAGGGCTCCAAGTACTTGACATCTTCCTCGTACTTTGTCCACTGCTCCTTAGGCAAAACGGTCTTGGTCATGGACAAGTGCAAAGCACGAATTATGCGATAGTTGCGCTCATCGTACAGTTTGCGTGGAAGGCGGCGGATTGCTTCCGCAACATCTTCGTTCTCATAGAGACAATCATCACGGTGCAGACCTTAAATGGCATTATTCATTAAACATTCAAATAAGTTGTGCGGTCCAATTAGCGCTTACCGTATTGGTTGAATCCAGACAGATTGTAGGCCCATTTTCCCAAGTTAGCTGGAATGTAGAATTGCAAAGTTTGTGTTACAAATTTACGTAATCAGCCAAATGCGCAGCGGTTAAGGTTGCGCCTTTTATGATTTCGCAATATATTGGTTAGTAGAATGAGGGTATACTTACAGAAAACCAAAGGTCCCTTCCTAGCAATATAGTTGCTCATGATTAATAAAAAATCGTAATTTTAGGAAGTCGTTCGCTTGACTCTAGTTTCCCTTTATTTTAGGTATGACAGCTGACAAACTGGTGATGGCAATCACCTAAAAAAAAATATATCGATATGCTTTGCTTGACAATCGAAACACTCAAGTGTCAGTGCTGTACAGCCAACTAAATTGTCAGAATCGAATTGCGGCCAACAGCAATTCAAATGAAAAATATCGTTAGATTCAATAATTATTTCAAATCATGAAAAACACCTGATTCTTGTATTTTTTTATATTTATATTTCAGATTGTTCAAAAACTTGGTGGCGATGGGAATCGGACAACTGTATAAAATTAAACCTTATTTAGGAAGTATTTGAAATTATACAATAATGTTGTATAAATTAAATAAATTCGTTGTTGTGTAAAACCTTTTGTTAAACGCCCAAAATATATGTAAATACATATATATTCCTAAGTATTTATTATGGTATGCATATATATTATATATATACATATATAAACATT